TTCCACAACATAATTGCTGGATCAACGTTTTTGTTAGGATATTACCGAGGAATAGAGATGAATGCTGCAGAATCACCTACAGATCTATCCAATCAGATTTACAGAGTTCGATTGTGTTGGTGTCTGATTGTATGACTCGATATTTAGGATTTACTTCAATGTACTTTATCACCCTATCTTTTTATAATTCGCCTCAGTAACTGTCACTCCCCCTGTACTGTATTTTAAGTATGCCAATGACATTGCCATCTCCATTTTCAAATCTACCCAATCGGAACTGACAGCATACAACACAAACGTATCCCGCCTCGATACGTATTCCATAGTATCCGGTCTTAATCTTGATTCTGTAAAATACCTTGAATATGATTTTATTGGGAACAGTTCCCAATCTCCCTCCGTCAGTGCATAAATTAAGGGTCAGCCATGTGAAGTACTTAAGTGTCTCTTGAAAATATCCTTCACTGGTCTTTACATACCCAAACGGTAGATCACAAGCTGAAAGTTGTCTTCTTTTTTCTGATCAGTCTGTGATAGAAAATTTTGCCCAATAATGTGTTCTCCCTATACTCCTTTACTGGCCCTTCGCTTCTATCATTTTTCCTGGTTTATTGAAGGCCGACTGAAGCTGCTGAGACGTGGTCTCAATCATCAGCCGTGTTTTCCACCTTCTATTGTCTGTTTTGATAAACACTATCTGTGATTTTTATATTGATCCATGCTTGCATTTTTTTGATAAAATTGTAGCTGATAGCCTCATTTCAACACTGAAGGGGTATAGGAAGACAGAGTAGAAAAGCGAGTCATCAACTGGTCACTGAGGTGCGCTGAACGGTTGAGGACCCAACCGCAGCGTTTATTTCGCAATTTAAAGTGGTCGTTTTTTCAAATCAATCTTAAAATGGTTTGAGGAGCACTCCGGGAGAGTGTCTTTTCCTATTCAGTACACCTCATCATAAAACGGAAGCTGATGGAGTGATATTGCATGAAATGCGTTGTGCACGAATAGTCGAATGTGACCGGATGTAAACACTTGACCTAAAGTGACGCTAAGCGTCGGGCGTTGCCGACACACATGCACAGCAGTCAGGGTGTACACATCCATGTTTTCAATCGATCGATTTATTTGGCTGGTATATACTGCAGCGTCACTGAGGTGCAAATGGCAACAAGGAACTTGTTCCATTTGCGACGATGAACAGTCGCATTCGGCATGCAGTTCAGGTCAATCGTTCGATCCAAAAGAATCTTCGTCTTGTGATAATGCGCACAAAATTCGCATGAGTGTAAAATATCTTGTGCGCAGTCATTTCAACCGTATTTCAAGTGTATTCTGCTATGCTAGTTTATGTTTGTCGCATTTGAAAGCGAAATCGATAGGCCATCGAGTTATCGAACTTTTCTAACAATCAGGTAGGTCAAGAAGATTATCGCAAAGATCACCAGCCATGTGAGGGGAGCTTTTACTGTCCTCAATACACTTAAGACCGAACAGGGAAATTATACGTATAGAAGGCACAAGAAAGAGAAAAGTTAGGTGACAAAGCAAGTTCAGCCTTTCAAACGGCATATCGTTCTTTTCGTCTTTTAGAAGGTCGTTCTACTGTGGAAGCTATGGATGAGCTTTTTTAAGCACCAAATTGTCCACGCGAATTTATCTTGTGATAACATTTCGTGACCTGTATACACGCTTTCAATATGATGAATAAAAACGATAACGACCCTTCTTGTTTTTCATCCATGAAAAGGTTTAAGTTCTATGCAACCCGTTCGAAAATCGGTGAACAAGTGATATTTTCTCTTGGCCGAAGATGTCGTTTAAGTAAATCTAAACAAGACACCTTGTTGATGGCAGGAGCGCTTATCTCTAAACAGCAATAGTGAAGGGAAATTGACTACTCCAAGTATGAATAAAAAGTCTGCACACATTATCTCATAGCACTCTGATATTGAAGTACAAATGGAGGTGCGTGAATACCACTGCGTAATAAATAGGTACCTCATGAACGCAGTCAGCTGACAGGTATACCCATTTTTCGTCCACTTCCTATGATTTAACTTTCCTGTCACTTGGATCATATAGATTTCTGACTTGTTATATATGATAGAAACATTCGCATCTAGAAAAGTTTATAGTCTCCTGGCTTCATCACCGGTAGACAAATACTCGTCTCTGAACCTAAGAACTGCTCTCACGCATTGTATCTTTCAAATAGGTTGCCTGTAAATACCCATTTGATTGTTTTTTGCAACAAGAATATTTTCACAGACGTGAGAGGATAAAATCCAATAATTGATGCTATAAGTAGTAAGATGAACCACGGATATTTGATTCGGCCAATGGCTACTGGAAACCAGTAATTTTAAGCGCTCTTAGAAGATAACAAACTGGCTTCAGGATACCACATTCGTGAAGAACAACTTCAGTATGTGAGAAATACTAAATTCATTGCTTCATGTTCGATCTGTCATACAGGTGCACGCTAAACGGTTGTAATTGTTTCGGGTGGTGATATAAAATCGAGGTCAGTGTGAATGATGTGGTTGCACGAATGGCTTCCGGGGGCCAAGAGATGGATTTCAGAAGGTGGATCGTTATCATGTTTGTACTGCTGCAAAAGTAGTGTTGGTCAACGGAGTTTCAACGCTTTAACTGATCTTGTTCACATGCACTTATTTCTAAATTATTCCTAAATTTAATGGAAGAAAAATTCAATCGCATTTCTGAAAAGAAATAGTTTAGCAAATCACTGTACCACTTTCATTCCTTCATCTATAGACTGACTTTATGGTATAATCACAAATCACCAGTGATGGGAAAAAGAACACCACTATCATTTTGTGTACCAAAAGATTATTTCATTCTCCACTGTAGAATCGGTAGAATCGGACTATCCGATCCATTCCATTGTTAAGTTGATCGAGCTCTGGTGCAAGCCACAATCAAAAGTACAGTTGACAAGTTACCGGAATCGAAAAGTCTGAGATGGTGGCCGACACATTCTAATTGACAATCTATCTAGTTTCTCCCGTTTCAGTCCATGTGAGCAGTGGCTTAGTAGATCGGTGCTGTTGTTTTGATTTCCGTTGGAGTTGGACTATAATTCTGTATGGAAATCCTGTGGATAACTGAAACGCATAAAGATTAACGGAATTATCAAGACGAAAACTTGAGAAGTCTCCCCAGTTAATAAATAGGCGAAAATTTGTAGTAGAGACTTGGGTTAAATTTGCCAATCGTGGGGAAAATCGTTTTCATTCGTCCTGTTTGCTCGTCGTTCTTGCGTGCATACGTCCTGTCAGCCAACCCGTTATTTATTTATTGACGTGACTCCCTAGAGGTGCATATGGAATTACACACAGGACTGCCTATGAAAACCGCACAGTGAGTGGCTCTTCAAGCATTGTAGCTATGCGGGAACTGATTCTCGATCGAGTATACCACTGAAGTTGGATGGGGAATCGTTACGGCAACTTGGCGCACATTTGCCACCGCCGACAAGTTCACGTCATGCAAAGGACAAGGACACACAGATCAAGCATGAGATGTGCACAGCAAAACAAACCAGGCTAGATCTAAGTAATCTGAACATTG